GTGTGTGTGTGTGTGTGTATGTGTGTGTGTGTGTGTGTGTGTGTGTGTGTGCGCGTGTGTGTAGACAGACAGATGGATGAGTAGATAGAGCTCTTCTCCATCACCCCGTCTGCTGACCTTCCATTTATCTGCAGGCTTAGCTGTCTCCTCCTTCCCGAGTGTCCCACCCCTCAATGCCCTCCACAGCAACCTCAGTTACACATCTTGACTGTGTCTTTCTGGTCTCCAGACTATGACTGTCTGCTGGTTTCTCCCGTAAGTTCATGAAGTTTAAAGAAAAGATCAATGTTGGGTCAACTCTTGTTTGCAGTGGCCTCTGTAGCACAGGGCTTGGCACCAAGGAGTAAGAAGTGGACATCACTAAAGGTGAGAAGGCCTCCTTTCCAGCTAGCTGTCTGGCTCCTGGCACTGAGCAGGGAAGGGAGGAGAGCCCCGCCTCCCCACTCCTTGCTAAAGGATGAAATTGCTTTGGCCCCAGGTTCATCTGTGCCCCCGCCCAACCCCATCACTTAAGTCCTTCCACTTGCTCCCAGTCATAGTCACGAGGGGACCAGGGAGGGACGGTGACTCAGCCCAATTCATCACCACAATGGAAAAACCCAGTCACCTGTCCTCCTGGCAGCAGGCAGGGCTGCTTCTGCATCTGGAAGGGCAGCAAGCCACACTGCTTTGAAGGTCCTTTTGTCTTTCACCTGCTGGAAAAAAGAATCAAGATTAGAAAACATGAGGGGGCACCACTGGTTGATGCTTGGGCTCACACTACAGTGCCAGTCTCAGGGACCAGGGACAACATGTTATTCAGCACCAGGATCCAAGTTAAGTGTCCATGTTGTGCCATCTAGCAGTGCTGCAAGCCCACTGTTACCTGAAATTGCTTCTGGGGACTTATTTGGTTACCAGCATCCAGGCTGGCCGTATGAGGCAGAGCCCACTTCCCTCTTCCTGGCTCCCTTGCAGCTTTCTCAGAGAGCCTGGTCTGGGCGCCACCAACCAGATGTGCTCTGGGCTGAGACGCACAGTCTGCATCCAGCTGGTGAAGATGGCAGCAGCATTCACTCCGCTTCCAAGGCAGCTGTGGTCCAGATGGCAGTATCCGGTGTCTGTGTCCACGGGTACTGCTAGTCACAACACCCAGGCCTGGGAATGGCCCTGGCACGGTGAGCACCAGATCGAGGCTCCCTGCTGATCAAGCCTGGCTCCTGCCATCCTGAATTGCCAGGTCCTTTAACTAAGTCCCCTTGTGCCCCAGTTAGCCAGAACAGGTTGTCACACCCTGCCTGACATTTCAGTTGGCTTTCAAAGAGGAAATGGGAGCTTTGTTCTCCAGCCCAGGCATGGCACCGCCGGTGATCTGCTTATTCTGCATAGCAGTGACTGATGAGGCATCTTCTAAGGAACTAGGAACAAGGCCAAGGACACCTCTGAGGGCCACCCTGTCCCTGCACAAGCTTGACCCTCTGCTCCCCTCTGCTAAAACTCCACTACCAAGCTTGCCTTCAAGGAGCAAGCGGCCTCTGTGGGGCACCAAAGATGGAGGAAGCCCCATGCATAGCCCAGGCACTGACTGTGGATCTGAAGTAACTGTCTTGCAGTAACTTGTCCAGAGCATCTGCTCCCACAGCACCGGTGCTTGACTCAACCGTCTCCTGGGGCAGTCAACAGTCACCTTTTCTGTCATTTAGCAAGTTGCCACATTCTGGGGTTGACATGTGAATCCTGACACAACAGAATGCTCACCTGAAGTTTATGGGTCACGTGAGCCAAGCAGATTATATGTGTCGGTCCAAGGCCATCATTACAGATACAGACAGACCAGAGCTCTTGCCAGGAAGCCTCTTACAACCTCTAGGTTCTGTTTTCCTCCACCTTAGGCAAGAACTTCAGCGAACTGGACATTTCTAGCAATTCAAGCATCAGTGCAACACACACAATTATCGATTTATGTTAGACTCTTTCTCATGCTACCATAATATACCTCCTGCTGGGTACTGGACAGCACCCACAGTGGGAAGGGCCCACGGGGACTTGATGAACATGTTTCTCTCTGTCTATGGGCTTTTTCTCTGAGAACTGTCCGGAAGGACAGATGAAGAGAATGCATCCAAAGCAAAGGAGGTGAAGCTAAGGGCTGTTCAGGAGGCACTCCCTAGGGTCCCTGTGTCAGGGCCCAGAACTTCAGGGGGATGAGAGGCCAGCATGGGCTGTTTCTGTCCTTTCTTGTCAAAACTCAGCTGTATGGGAGCCTCAGTGGCGAGGATCTTGGGAGCACTGCCCCCATACCAGCCCTTCATCTCCGCCTGGCCCCGTGCTTCTCTGATGGCGGTAGCCGTCGTGGGGTCGGCATTCACATAGCTGCCCAGATGCTGCACATTCAGCTTTTGCGGTCGCCTCCGCTCCTCTCTCTGCTTCTCAGTCTCCACAAAGCACTGGTGCAGCTCCTTGGTGACCTCCATAATGCTCAGGTCACACTCTACTTTATCGTCTGGCTCCGCCTCCTGCTCTTCCTCTTCACACAGCGCTTCATCTTCTCCTGTGGATGTCCAAAGCTTTCAAAATGTGAAGAAATGCAGGGTGACCCCTGCCAGGCCACGTGCTGGGCCTGGCAGACTGAAAGACACTCAGCTTCATGAGCACGAGGACTCCAAGGAAGAGAAGCTTGATGCAAGAGCCGTGGGAAAATGAAATAGGAGTCCTGGACTTTGTGTGGGCATTCTGATGGCTGTGCAGCCAAGCCACTGCGTAATAATGACGCCAGTATTTATACTAGGTGAGAATAGCAAGACTCAGCAGCTCTCCATCGTGATGCCATTATCGCTATCTCTGGTTGGAAAATCCAAGTAGGCACTTGTGGGCACAAAGCTTGCAAATGTCAAGTAGTGGAGTGTCAGGCGGTGGGCATTTTATCCCGTGACTCGTTCTGAAACTACTGGGAAGGGCAGAAGTTGTAAAGTGTGACTCTATGGGGCAGTAATGACAATGTCATCATCATCATCAACCACTCACTGAACACTAAACCATGTATCTGGCAAGAAATTAGACGTGTCTATCATTTACTTTGAGGTGGTACGTATGTGTGTGGTACATGTATATATGTTTGCACTTGTGGGGGTGCCCGTGTGTGCATGCCCCTGCTTGCCTAAAGTTGACAAGGGGCATCTCCATGTCATTTACTGAGGCCTCTCTCAGTGAGCCTGGCCAGCAGGCCCCAGGGATGCAATCTTTCCCTCCTGAGTGCTGGGGTTACAGATGGCCCCTGAAGGGACTCTGGCCAGCTTGAGCCGGGCAAGCATGGCTCCGGCAGGCTTTGCCCTTCTCCCTGATTCCTTTGGCCTTGCTAAACAAAAAAACAAAACAAAACAAAAAACCGTTAGATTGCATTCCTGAAGCTGGCCACCAAGGTCTGTTCCCTTATTTGCCCAATTCCTTCTCCTAAGGTTGACTGCCAAGGTGCAGCTATCAAAGTATTGAAGTCCAATAACCAAAAGACCACTTTGACTCACCTAATTAACATGTGCAATTAAAACTAAACACCTCATCCTAACATGAGGTTTCCCTTGTACCTTTATAAACCGCCATTTTCCTACGTGCCACGCCTGTCTCCTCTCTACCCAGAAATACCCCGACTCCTTTTCTTTGTTCTCTTCTGCTTCTCTCTCATCCTCTCTCTCCTGTCTTTGTCTCTTTGCCCTGCCCTCTGACCCACTGGGGCAAATACATCTCGATTGTGTGAGAACTTGGTCTTGGGGGTCCTAAGCCCAGACTTTTCCTTTCAGCCACCATGCCTGCCATGTCTTATGGGGGTTCTGGGGATCTTAATTCTGCTTGCAGGGCAAGTGCTTTACTTGGCCATCTCCTCTGTAGCCTCCCCCCCCCCCCAATCATTTAATTCCTACAGGAGTCTTCTGGGGTCAGCTCCATCCCAGTTTCACAGCGTGTGAAGAGTCTGGAAGAGAGTAATAGGCCAGAAGTCACGGGGAGGGGGAGCGAAAATAATAAACAGTGCATGTAAGGGCGGACCCCTACTTACGCCTACAGAACGCAAACCCGAGGGAAGAGACATTTCAGAGATGGTTCATTCTGTCACCAGACTGCCCCACCCCAACTCCTTTAACAAAGGAAGACACTAACAGGGAGGGAATTTTCCGAACTTGCAGAAACCAAGCTTGCTGCTTCGGTCTCAAAGCACCACAAACTGTAAACTAGGATATGTGCCCCACCTGCAGCCATCCAAATCTCGGGCAGCTTCTTCAGCGGGCAGTGGAGTTAAGTTACGGTCAACTTCAGGTGCTGGCCACCTGGAACCAGGGCCAGCGTCTCGGTAGTCCACGCGCAGCGCCGGGCAGAAACAGGGCCCTCTCTGGGAGCCCCCACCCCACCCCAGGCGAGCAGGGGGCGGGGCGCTGCAGATTGCTTGGGTCCGTGCCAGGCTGTGGGTCGTCCCTCTGAGCCTCCCGCCCACTCCCACAGCCGGTGGCAGTCCGGGTCCAGCCACCAAGCGGGACGCGCCGTTCGGCCCACGCCCACCCACCCACGCGGACACGCCCCCGCGGCGCGGCGCCCCGCCCCCAGCTTCGGGGCTTGCCTGTGCCGGGAACCTGCACCACTCGTGGGCGGCGGCGTCCAGGCCCGGCTCCCGCCTGCGCGACCGTGTCGCTCGCTCGGCAGCCTGGGTGAGTCGCCGCGCCCTCACCCCTGCCATCCCCTCTGGGTGCAGCCTCACTGCAGCCCCGCACCTTCTTCCGCGGCCACCTCCCGCCCACGCCGAGGGCGACGCCCTGTCTCCCAGCCATCCCTCGCCTTCTTGGCCCAGACCCCGGGAGACCCGGGACACTCGTCCTGCCGCGACGGCCGGGGGCGACAGGCGTCTTCGTTCGCGCGGGGCCCCTCCCGCGGTGCCACACTCCCCTCCCTCGGCGCTCACCCCGGCCAGGTGGCGGCGGGTGCCTTTTGGGGTGCGCGGCTGTGCCATTGGTGGATTTTTTTAAACCCTGCTGGAGGGGGCGGTAAGCGCTCCGCGCTACCGGCTGCTGCTCCCGCCGCTCCCGCTCTCCCGCCGCTGCTCTCTGCGGCTACCGCGCGCCTCGCCCCGGTCGGCCCAGCGCGCTCCTCGGACGCCGAGATGAAGGTGCTGGGACACAGGCTCCAACTGCTGACAGGTACCGCCGCCCCCGCTCGCCACTGTCGCTTTCCGACTTGGAGCGGGCTCGGGGCTCGGTGGCCCGGGTTGGAAGGGGCGATCCCGGGTGCGCGTTCCCAGTGGAACGAAACCTGAGGCACACCGGGCTCTACTGAGTCCCCGGCCGGCCACTGGGAGGGTGAAGCGCCAGCGCCGCCGCGGATCGCGAATCGCAGAAAAAAGGTCCCCTGCGGTGTCCCGCCAGAGCTCCGATCAGCATCCCCCTGAGGAGCTCCGGAGTCTCCGCCTGTCAGTCAACTGTAGTTTGTCCCTTGAGAAAGCAGCCCGGGGCCTCCTGGGGAAACGGGGAGAACCTGTGCAAAGGCCTCTTCCTGCTCTCCTATGATGGTCAAAAGCACCTTTCTCTCTGGGGAGAAGTTTCTTGCTGAAAGTAGAGCCAAGTGGCTTGGGAAGGTGGAACCGTGAGGTCTGGGGCCATTCACCTTGGGGCCACCGTGGAGAAGAAACCAGATATCCCGCTGAGGGCATCTTGGGGCCAGAGGCTTGAATGTCTTGGAGAAGATAGGTGCCTAGAGGTGTTGGGAAAAGGAGCAGAGACAGTGGCCAGGTGTCTGAGGTAGATGCGCCTCACACGGGAAGCCCAGCAGCACTGGAGGCTTCTGTGTTCCCAGGGTGGAGGCGACAGCCCCAGTGCAGACCGCGCTGGACCCAGCTGGGCCTTTGTCAGGTGCTCAACCCACGTATACCTGATGAACATGTTCAAGAGATGCCTTCGGGCACTTGAGGTCCTGGTAGAACACAGGACCCTGACCGGAAGGTGAGGAAGGGGCCACTGCTCCCTGTCTGTGTCCTCAGGAATTGGGATGGGAGCTGGGGCGGGGAGCAGAGAAGATGGCGAGATTAGAGCAGGCAGCTGCATTTGGAGACCCTGGAGGTAGAACTTTGTCTTTCACGGAAAGGGAGGTCTGTGTGTGAGTGACTTGGTCCAGGAGTGGCATAGTACTGGGGGCCTGTGTGTGTCGGGGATGGTGCTGGATGGAAGTACAGGAGGGAAGTAGGCCAGGTGAAGGTTTGGACTGTAAGTGTGTGTGAGCATGTGTGTGTGTGTGCGCGCGCGCGAGTGTGTGTGTGTGAGTGTGCGCGTGTGTGTGGTGGGGTGTTACAAAAGGAAAGTAGGGCAGATGAGGGTTTGGGCTGTATGATAAACCACAGTGGGCCGTGCTGGGCTCACAGAGGAGAGCAGGTGGAGTTTTCCTGGAGCCTTGGAACCCCTGGCTGAATGTGTTTTGGGCACCCACCACCTCCCTTCAGCTTTTCCTTACGGCAGTCACCTGAGACAGACCAGGCCACCCACCTTGAAGAGAGCTGCAGCCTTGTTGACTCCCCAAATACTGAGACTGGAAGGAGGGGTCAGTGGAGCCTGTGGTCCAGAGTCCTGCTTAAGGGCAGAACCAGGTCCTCCATCCCCAGGTGGCCCCCGAGGGGACGGATGGTAAATGACGGCACCATGTGCAGTGTGCCCTGCCGTCCTCAATGAGCTGTGGCTTTCTGGACACGTCCAACCAGACTTTGTCACTGTTAGCTCCCCGTGTACTTGACCCAGCTGTGGCTCCTGTAACCTTGTCACCCAGGAGGCTGAAGCATGAGGGTGGTGAATTTAGTGCCAGCCTGGGCTGTAGTTCTGCAAACATGCGGATGGTGGATTTAAGGCTAGCCTGGGCTATGTATTGAGTTCCACATCCCTTCTTGTTATCCTTCCTTCACCCTCCCTCTCTCACCACCACCCTCCAACTCCCCTTTGTCTTCCTCCCGTCTCGTAGGTTTGGATTCAAACTCCAGTCCCAGCCAGTAGTGATTTCAAGCAGGTTGTTTAACCTCCAGCTTATTGTCCCAGCATAAAGATTCCTAAGAGATGCCATGAGGCCTCTCGAGACACAGCAGGTGACACGTCTGATTGGGGCCTCAAGAGTCTATCTGCCCTTTTGGCTACTTCTCCTGATAATGAAGGATCCTGCCTGCCTTGCCTTGTTGGCTAGTAAGGACCTAGGATCTGACACACACTCCACATTACCCCTGCCGAGCGGCAACAGGGAGATTTTTTTTAAAACTCATCTCCCTGGAGTGGTGTGCAGGGTGATGGGTTCTTTGTGGTAGTATATAGCAAGTGTTCAATACGTCTTGGTTTGGTCCAAGCTCAGGCATCCTGCTCGTCAGCTGTGCCTCCAGGATGATTTTGCAGAGGCCTTTGGGCCCTTGCCCTTACCTACCCGCAGGAAGTTGATTGTAATCGTTTCTATGGCCTCCATCTTACCACCACATTCACATAGCCAGAGTGGGTGATTCATATCCCCCTAACACGCTCATGACCTCCTTCCTGCTCAGCTGAGGGCCAGCCAAACCGCCCCACTCCTCATTTCCTCCCCTGTGAAGTGGGGTCACGCAGCCCCTTCCACGCTTGGATGTGAGCATGCTTCTCAAATGTCGCCGCATCCGGCAGGTGGTCACCTTGGTCTCTGAGCTCTCTCCACAGTGCCCTGGGCTCTCCCGTGCCCTCCGCTCTGCAGTCTCCAGTCGACTCCAGGGTAACCTAGTCCCCTCACTGGGTTCTCTGCACAGTAGACTTCTGAGAACCAGAAAACGCCACTCCCTTGCGACAGCCCAGCACCCCAGTAAAGCAGGGTGTGTACTGAGATGGATAAGCTGGAGAGGAAGACTCAGGGCTCCTATTCTAGTCCCCAAAGGCGGTTCTATGCCTCGGTTTCTCCTCATCAGGCCCACCAGCAATCAGGCACTATTTAAATGGACCCTGTAAAACTGTGGGAGACACTTCACAAATGAGAATGGCCCCATAGCCTCATATACTTGAAAACTCGGTCTCCAGCTGGTGGGAGTGGCGTTAGGGAGTGGGCACTCCAGGTCCTCTGATGTGGGGAGATGGGCACTCTGCCCCACTGTGTGGAAGAAGGAGAGGCTGGTACCACTCTCACAAAGCACAAATTGGTAGTGGTGTACCAGTTCTTAAGGGTGTACGATCTGTGCCTCCGCAGCTGCATTTTCAGGAAAACATGAAGGCGAGTGTAGAGGTGTCTGTTCAGGGATATCTGTCTTGTCATTGTTGGAGAAAGTGGCAAGAGCCAGTTGTGAGGGTAGAAGTGTGCATTCGGCTCAGGACACACGCACAGGCAGCTGCAGATCTCACTGCTGAAGGTCGTTTACCCCACACACAGGTGTCCCCTTAAAAACCTCTGGTAATGATGGTGGTGACAGCTCGTGGGTATGTGGCACTCTCCCTTGTTAGGCACAGTCTCGGGTGCCGTCATATGAGCAGTGTAACTCCCCATTTAAGGAAACTGAGGCACAAGACAGTTAAAGCACTTGCCAGAGGTTACGTGGATGTCAGGTACTGGCTGGACTTGGAGCCGGGAGAGCTGCCTCTAGAGTCTGAGAAGCCTCCTTAGAATCATGTTTCCTGCATTAAAAAGTAGCAGATTGGCCTCTTTAGCCCCAGACAAAGCCTTTCCAGATTGGTCATGTTGTCGGATGGCGGAAGTCACAGTACCTTTCCTCTGTCTCCCAGTATCTTACAGTGTTCACTTTTTCTTTTCTCGCTTTTCTTGGTGAATGCATGTTACATGGACGGCAGGTTTACTTTTCTTTTACGACAGGCCCTTGCAGCTCAGGTTGGTCTTGAACTTACTATAAACTGAGGCTGATCTTGAAATTCCAGTCCTCCTGCCTCCACTTCCCAAGTGCTGGAGTTAGAAGAGTGTGCCACCCTGTCCGGTTTATATGATGCTAGGGATCGAACCCATGATTTAAATTTACACTAGGCAAGTCCTGTACCAACAGAGCACCGTCCCCAGCACTTAGGTTCACCCCTGCCTGAGATCCTAAGTGAGCAGTCAGACAGAGGCCGAGCTCTGTGTTCAGTCTCATAGCATAAATACACACCTCAGTTTCTCCCTCTGTATTCAGGGTGTACTAGCCGCAAGAATGACCCCAAGCAGGTATTTGTCCTTAGTCCCTAGAACCTAGGAATGTCAGCAAACATACTCAAGGGGCCTTGCTGATGAGATTAAGGATTTCATCTGGAGAAAATTCCTGGATTAGCAGGTGGGCCCTTTGTGCACCTGCCCCCCCCCCCAGTAAGAGGGAGGCAGGAACTGTCCCAGTCCGGAAGTGGAGGCCCAGGGCAAGCTGCTTGGCTATTGGCCAGGTGGTGGGGAGGGCCACCAAGCCAAAGATGGCAGGAGCACGCCTGGAGGTGGGGAATGAGTCTGCCTCACAGACCCCCTGAGTTCACCCAACAGTGCGGATTGGAAGGGAGTTAAGTCCACGTAATGAAGATTCGTCATAATGACGCCACCAAGATGATGAAGTTATCAGACCTGGCCCGGGAAGGTGACCTTCTGCAGAGAAGGTGGGCAGGCCCTTCAAGGTTGGGGTCTGCATGGGGGCCTCCTCTCAGCCCTGACTGTGTGAGCTGGGCTGAGCCTGGCTGTGCCCCGGTGTGGTCCTGGGCTCAGCTGAGAAAGCCCCATAGAAGCCTGAATGGGCTGTGTGTGTCCACGTTACCTCCCCCACCCTGGTCCCCTCGGGTACAGAAGACACACACACACACACACACACACACACACACACACACACACACACACACGCCCTTCCTAGCTAGCTCTCAAGCCTTTGGAGTCCTGTCTGTGGATGATCTATCTGCTGCAGAGTGACTGGAGGGACACACGCCTCTGGGACATGCCAGCTTCCGGCAGCCCACTTCGGGCAGGTCGCAAGGGGAGTGCTGTGTGTCTGTGGGTGTGCCCCATCCAAGGCAGGTGACACAGGGACCTCAGTCACTTTGAGAGACACAGAGAGAGTCTTTCTCCAGAGTATGGAGGTGGTCCCATAGCTGAGTCCAGGGTTTGTAGCCTTCAGACCATACTCTGTAACCCAAGAGGCCAGGGGAAGGGGAAGCTGTCTGTTTTCACAGCTGAGCCCGGTGGAGGAATGTCAGGGCGGAGGAAG